GCTTTGGACTTCAACCATATTATGGATTTAGTAATCAAGAAGTCATAGAGATGATCAGGAAAAGACAACTGCTGCCATGCTCTGAAGACTGTCCTCCTCGAATGTATAGCCTGATGACAGAGTGCTGGCATGATCTTCCATCCCGGAGGCCGCGATTTAAAGAAATCCATGCCAGGCTGCGCTCTTGGGAGGGGCTTTCAAGTCACACCAGTTCCACCACCCCCTCAGGCGGGAATGCCACCACTCAAACAACTTCACTCAGTGCCAGTCCAGTTAGCAATCTAAGTAATCCTAGATACCCTAACTACATGTTTCCAGCACAAGGTATACCACAAGGCCAAATTGCCGGGTTCATCGGACCACCGATACCTCAAAATCAGCGCTATATTCCAATCAATGGGTACCCGATTCCGCCAGGATACGCTGCTTTCCCAGCTGCCCACTATCAACCGCAAGGTCCACCCCGGGTGATTCAGCACTGTCCTCCTCCAAAGAGTCGTTCGCCAAGCAGTGCCAGTGGATCCACCAGCACAGGGCACGTCACTAGTTTGCCATCCTCAGGATCCAACCAGGAAGCAAATATTCCTTTGCTATCTCATATGTCAATTCCTAGTCATCCGGGGGGAATTGGTATAACAGTTTTTGGAAACAAAACTCAAAAACCCTACAAAATTGACTCCAAGCAGTCTTCCCTATTAGGAGACTCCAGCATCCATGGACCTAACGAATCTATGATTTCAGCTGAATTGTAAATAAGTGAGGCCTTTGTAAATAGAACTATTTACAATACAAACTAGAAAGTCGTAGAAAAGATTTATATTCAAATATTTTATTAAAGATTCTTCTGGTTGTTTTAACAGACATTGCAACAAGTATCTTCTGTGAAGTTTAACTGCTTAACAGGACGGGCAGACTCAACCAGACAAAAATCATTGTGGTATGAATACTCGGCATTGTGAACGGACGCATTGTTTCTTTAAGTGCCACCAACAATTCAAAAAGGGGAAGGGGGATTTTTCTTCTAATAAAAACATTTTATCCTATGCTTTTTTCACAGCTTTCTAAACCTCTGATGTGGTTTAAATCACAGAAACGTTTTAATACTGAAAACTTATTTTAATATTTGTCTCTTTTTTTAGGAGATGCAAATATTCAGAGGTCTACTGGATGTGCAATTTCAGTTTCAATAGCTAGTTAAAATGTCTGTAAATTTTGCAGTCGAGGATTATGTTTCAAATATGTGATCTGAGAGCTGGATAAATTACTTCAGGTAGGATTCTGGTCTTCTGTTAAGTTGGGAGTCTGAGTTCAACCTCAGACCAAAAAAGTCATTTTCTGTTACAGCAAAATAGCTTGAGTTGTCCACTTGCATTCTGCGAAAATCATCTGCTATTGTCTGCTAAAGATAGCTGGAGTTGTAAGAAATTGCCTTAAAGGAAATGAAATTAAAATATTTTAATTTCAGAACCTGAATCAACTTAGTCAAAGTTAACATTTCATAATTTTTATGGATAGTTAAAGCAGAAATTTTATATCCTTTTGTTGCTATGCAACTGTTTAATGGAAAGGCTCCAAACCACAATTTTATATATGACAATCAGTTTTCCCAGGAATATTTATTGTTGCAGATCAATATATAATTTCAGTGACTCCAGTAACCCTGAAAAAAGGGAAGCTCACATTCCATCAGGCAGCAAATTCATTGATAGCGATTTTTGTCTATCAGTTCAAATAATGTGAATTAGTTTTAACTTTAGAAATATGGCATTTGTATTATTACTAAAATTCATTCAGGTATAAGCAATCTAGATTATTCATTTGAAACCACTTTAATGATTTACACAAGTACTGTGTACATTACAGTTTTTCACAAACTTTTTTGTACTGAATAGTATTTTTTGTTGTACACAGAATGAAAACAATCTTTGCTCAGTTGACAATGTTGTATAATATGACTTTATTTTTATCTTTTTGCACAAAAGTGTGATAATGTTTTGTACAGCAGAAGTGAAAATACATCTCTGCATTTTATATCTTGGTCTGTTTCTTTTTATTTTTAACCTGATGTAGATGTTCTTGAAATATATTATGGTGATATTCAGCCACTACCTTATACAAATATTTTTCTTTGTTTTCACTGCATGCATTTAATCACTGTATTACTTGATGATTGATTTTTTTTAATTATGGGCATTTCAATTAGGCAAGCATGAAAATGTAATAACAAAGGCTATTTTATAATTAAGATATGTGCATTTTTGTATTTCACGTGCCAGAGATGATATTAAACACTGATTATTTTATGCTGCTGTTTATTAAAACATTGTTTTAACATAAGTATATCAGTATTTCCTCCATTGTGGTATAAGATATTTGAAAAGTATTTAACAAAAAAGTAAAACCTGCTCACACAGCTCAGGTAGGGAGTGTCTGCTGAAATACTCACCTGAATGAGGCATGAGAGTTTTGCCGATAATAGTTAATAATTACTTAGGCGTAATATACTGAGGCTTAAATGAACATTGGATCATGCAAGTATTTCACGAGCACAGAAGAGAACAGGGATGGCATCCCACGTTGTGAGAATGAGACATTTTTGCTGGGATGTAATGGGTGCCGTTTAGCCCGGTACCAAGGGCTCCTCACTTAGCTTTTATGTGCCACTGCATCGTATGAGCTGTCACTGTATTGCTGCATCATCCTGAGCTGCCAGGTGTGATACTGTCCTTGCAGATGAAGAACTATCAGTAATTATACAGTAAGGACTTCAGTGACTGCTGAGATACTTTATGAATTTGAGATGTCATCTTCCACCAGGACTGAATTTAGGTCTGGATCAGTAACGTGTCAGGTAAAATTCAGTTTTGACTGGATTTGATTTTTGAAGAGAGAATTTTTGACAGGCCTTTATCAGATGTTCTCTCTGAACCATAGCTATTAACATCATCAGAGGCTAGAGAACAGCTCGCTCACTCACATACACATGTACCTTTGTAGCACTCTGTTGGTGTCCTGTTCAATAGAGTAAATGTCATTCTTGATCCAGCTTTTCTCTCATCTACTCCAGCATACTTTTTTTGAGTAGTCGCACCAGTGCAAACAATTCTTTTGCATCCTAAGCATCAAACACATTGAGAAAGTAAAAGTCACTTTTTTTTTAACCACTCTTTTATTGGCAGATTTCTTAGCATATACCATTAAAGGCTTGAAATTTCAGCAGTGCCAATTTAAAGTCAGTGAGCCACTTTATAAGTATCTAGTTTCAGAAACAAAAGAAACCATATGCAGCCAATCAAGTTTGTGGTCCTTATATTAGGCTGTTATTGCAAAAGCTTCAGTAAATAACATGCTGTAAATAACGGAGAAATAAGAATCTTTGCACCATGGCTGACCCAGATGTTCATGCAAAAACATGGCTGAAAAAGGTATCAAGATATCAAGATCAATGATATCAGGATATTTGCTTATCACCCTCAAGCAACAGCCCTCACTGAACGAGTTTATGAAGAAAAAGAAAGTGTCAGGAGGGCCCCTTTTCACATAGGAAAATTATATGTTCGTATGCTGGAAAAGGCGGCAGGGGAACCACCTGTCAAGAGACATCTAGACGGATGGTTTCTGCAAGTTGGGATGGCAAGTCATACAGGCCCCAGCAGGACAAATATGAACTGAACATGTTAATGCGGTAAGACAATTCATCCCATCAAGACAAGCATGAGCCACACTCAGGTAAAAACCTCTCTCACATCAGCGCGACATATACTTTTAGCAGCCACGGGACTGCCATCCTATGTAGGTAAGCACTGCTCTGGATGTGCAACTTTAATCACCCTGATAGGAAAACGGTAACCTAATACTTAATGGAGCAGCAGTGGGTGTGAATCATGAAGTTATCCCTGACACATTTTGTGGTTTTGTGTTTAAAAAGGAGCTACAACGCAAACACACTGAATTCTATTTAGTTTTTCCTTTATTTCAAAGTTAGCTGGATATTGAAGGTTAAAATATTTTTCAGATTCAGAGTCAGAAGTAAGACCAGCACTGAATGGTACACCTGAAAACTCCTATGAGAACCTCTTCCTTCCCCTCTGCCCCTCTCTCAAGTGAAGAATATGAACGCTGAGGCTGAAATCACAATCAGGGAACAAATGTTAAAGCAGAGAGGCAGGAATTCATGAGGGAGCAATTAAAAGGAGAAAATAATCCTCTGAAAGCCAATTAGATAATGTGGAAAATAAATGTTGGCAACAATTAGGAAATTACTCCTCAGGTGGGAATGCAGACATACAGATGAAGGTTATTTTCATGGCAAATAAGGGATGAGGAAACTTCCACATTCCTAATGCTGGATACAAGAGTCATCACAGCTTCTTTCTTCAAAGAGACAGAACAGCCAAGACTGTTAGAAATGTAATAATGCATGGAGACGCTCTAGAGATTTGGAAATAAAACTCTGAATAAACAGTGTTTAGCAAGCCTTCAATCTGGACTATCTCATTCTCTCCAGATTAGTTATTTGTGTAAAAGAGAGTAAATATTTGCTGATTTAAAGACCAAAATGCAGAGACTGAAATGGAGATTTGTATCCTTTGTTCCCACAAAGGAGTGATTAGAGTGCTTTTTTGCGTTCTCTGGATTGAAAGCAGAAGGTAAAGCAGAGAACTCCTTGTGCAGAAACCTGGGCTGGGAAACTCAGAAATACCAGCGTATGTTTATCCAGAGCATGAGAAATTGTCAAAAAGGAATCCATTATTTGCTTTGCGTGAATAAGGATATCCAAGCAGTTTGCAGGCTTGGCAACGCTACATCACATTTGCTTGTTGTTCCCATACTGTTCTGTAACCTGCCTTCATCAGGAGAACTTTAAAATGTCCACCTAACTCAAAACACTCCTGACAGTTAAGTCAGGTAATACAAAAATTGTCTCAAGTACAAACACATGCTGTTCACCATGGACTCAGTTCTATGAAATGAGTACCTTCAATATCTTTTGGCTCCAGTTCCTGTATTTATCAAAAGGCATTTAGCTCTTTGGCAGGATGCATTCGTTTTAGGATGTCTAGAAGTTGTCTTTGCCTCCTCACAAAACCAAGGCTTTTGACCAAAAGACACCTAATTTCTTCCGCCTCATGTTGTTAAGCCTAGCTTGCACAAGGTAGGCCAGGCATTGCTCGGACTAGAATGAGAGTAGTGATATGGCCATGAATGTGCGCAGGAGAAACTAGCTGATACTAATTGGAAGAAGGAGAAGGAGCTAAGCCACCCTGTGTTCCTTCAGTCTGTGTCACACCACGCGTTAGGTGCAAGAAAGCACTAATGAAGCTGTGACTGTAGTATCTCTCCTTCAACTGCAAACATATGATGAATTAACTGGTTATAAATCATATATTGTAATTAGAAAATCAGGAATGTGGCAGAGCCAGAGGCAGTGAGAGAGGGCTGCCTACACATGACAAGGATGGTAGTCTCATTAATCTTGTAAAAAAATCTTTTCGTTGTTCCATATGGCTTGATATAAAACTTACTGAAAGCCATGCATATCTGCATTTATTTTAGCAGTGTTTGAATTAGGCTTTTTTTTTTTTAAGCTTCTGGAGAGTTTTAATGACATTGGTGAGACCCTGGTGCTTCAGTCTGTACCTATGAGAAATGCGTCTTGCAGCCCAAGTTCACAAGCAGCTCTGGTGTTTGTACAGGGTTAGTTAGAAAGCAGGTTCCCAAGCCAGTAAAACGAGACTAGCTCACACATTTGTTCCAAAGAGATTAAACTAGCTTGAGTTCCAAAGTCCTACAATAAACAAAATAAGCTAAAGGGTTTTTTTTGCCAAAAAAATGACAGTATCTTAGCTGTAAGTCACAATACTTTAACTAATATTTCTTTTAAAATATGAATTCATCATCTTTCTGTGGTCGAGGAACGGAAGGAGCAGGCATGCTGAGCAGAATCGCACCATCTCTTGTTCAGCTGGGGAACCTCAGTGGAAAAACCCAGGAAGCTGGGCTTCTGTCTGGTTTCAGCTAATGGAGAACAAATGTCTTCTGGAGAAGAAGCGCTGGTTGTGTTTCAGAACAGCACCTCCTCGGAGCACCTCCTTGTGTCCCCTCCGGATCTGCCCACTGACGTTGTCTTCAGTTCCTCCCCTGGACATCACAATACTGTCACGTTACGTGAGCCTGCACCTTTGTCCCAGCTCTTTGGTTTGTTGGAGACGGAGCCAACACGCTTATTTTAGTAAAGAGCTAGTAGCCAAACGATTCTCTGCTGTTAGCCTTACGGAAAGGGTGAAAGGGAGGAGGAGGGCTGACGATGCGGGGAGCAAGCTTAACTAACTCAGACGCAGTCGCACAAACCACATCCTCACGTTCCCCGCACGCATGCTTTCCTTTGGCTGCCGCCTCCACGGCTACGTTTTTGTGGCCCCCAAGCCTGCTTTCTGGGCAGGCCTGCAAGCCTCCCCCTTCGAGATGGGATGTTCCTGGAATCCGAGAAATAATTTTTATCTTGCCGCGGGCTTTCTTTTATAGGAGGGGAGAGCGTTGCCCCCAGGTCTGTCGCTCTCTATCCCATCATATTTCTTCCTGTTTGATCTCTCGAAGATTAAAGTTCAGTATATTTCAGGACAGTTATATTGCTGAGGTAATATAAAATTATTAAAAACAGAGAGAGAGACAATATTGTGACTACACATCAAAAGCGCTTCAAGACAAAGGAGGGAAAATTGACTCGAAACTGGAATTATTAGAAGCATCTGTGGTGTCCGTTATTTTCCATTTAACAGTGCAACACATTGTGGACTGGTGTCTCTTTCAAACCTGCAACCTGGTCCTGCCTTCACTGGCTGATTTGTACCCTAAAGACCTGTTTTTCTGCTCCGGTAGAGGGGCACAGCAATGGCTGGGTGAAGAATTTTGACCTTAAGGTATAACCAAGGGAACGTTTTCCAGCGCGGCAACCTATAGCCTGCACAAAGGAAACGTCGGGTTATTTTTTTTTGCTCATCAGCGGAATTTAAAGCGAAACAGAAATATCTGTTAGATTCACAAGAAGCACATGCATTTATCAACCGCAACGGGCACTCGGGGAACAACGTGCGTACGTGTGTTTATAGAGGCGAGTACACGTATTTATACAGACTCAGATGTTTTCGGCACTCATTCCCGTAGTTCAAAAAGATGCAATAACATTTTGAAACAGTAACTAACAGAGACCAGGATAACATTCATTTCCAGGCACCCTGGGTGTAAACATTTAACTGAGCTTATGTGGGTCGAGCCAGAGCTGCAGAAAGCAGAAGCGCTGCACAGGTCCCTATAGAAGAGGCATTGCCAAGCCGCGTAGGGGAGAGCCAGATGAGGAGCCGAATACCTCACTCTTGGGGGGGAAAAAAACAATAAGAAAAAAAAAATTTTTTCCCTCAAGATTTTTCCAGAAAAAGCCCTCTCCCAGAGGCAGAGTGACCCGCTTCACCTCCGCGCGCAGTCAGCAGGTGAACAAAATGGCGGCGCGGTTGCTAGGCGACGCGCGGG